CCCAGATTGACTATTCACTAAAAGTTAGCTATTATTATTTTATTAAGACTGAATGGAGGATAATGCTTGTCACCAGAGGAAAGGCAGCATAAGCATAAGGTGGATAATCCAAACAAATGGGAAGTTGAAAATTAATGTTGTAAAGAAAGGGACACTGAATTAATAAGATGGTCTTTTTATTTCATTTAGCCATTGTTTTGTGACTGCTCCCCCGTTGTTTTCCTGTTGCTAGACAGATAATTTGGGTGATCTTACTCAATAAACCAAATGCCTTTGTATTGTCTTTTTATATTTAATATTAAGTTGGTGTCTGTCTTGTGTGACAGTTGAAAAATATTTCCCATAGGGATTCTGGATTTTGTTAGCTCTTATTTCAAAATACCGTGGTTTGGGAAACACGCACTACAACTCTGAACTCATTGCAACGATGTGTTTATCTCTGCAGCAGGTCCAGATCTCAGGTGTGCAAGAAATAGTCCCAAAAGAAAAATAGATGCAGTTTGAGACATATGTGCTGAAGTCACCTCAGGCAGTCTCAGAGATCTTTGTTCACTGCCTCAGATCGGTTTATGCTCTTTTAAGTGTTTCATAAACCAAAGAAATAGAGTCTGGGCATTGTCCTTTTTTAGAGCATTATTATTTTTATGAAAAATAATTTGAATGCTTTGCACTCAAAAAAAAAAAAGGCCATTGCAAGAGTACTTAATTGGGTGTGACAACTGTAAAAGTTTGGGGGAAATCTTAAACGTTAATCAAATGCTGCTCTCAGTTTTAGAAATGTCTTTAAGTTCTTGTTCTGTTTGAAAGGAACCAAAGTGGAAACTTGTTGATGGTAAATTATGGTGTGGTTTATGAAAATATGAAAAAAATATGACTTGGAACTCTAGCTGTCCTAGCCACAAAAAATCTCAATGAAACAAAAAAGCTTAACTTGACCTTAAATGAAACATGTATACATTCATATTTCTGAAGTTAGACAAAATACTAATTTATGTGTGTATCTATTTTTAAAATTCTCCTAATTTTTAAATAGCTAATTCACCGGCTGCTGGGTCTTGTCAGATAAGACAGCTTTTGTCTTACACTGATATGCAGTCATTAAAAATTCGGTTTTGGAATTATATATCCTATCATATAGGAGTGCTCATCATATATGGTTAAGTGAGAGTCAGCAGGCTATATAGAATAGACTATAGTACCATACCATTTTTGTAAACACATGTTTAGAACAAAGAATATATGATAAATATTAATGGTGGGTAGTGGGATTATGACTGATTTTAGTGGTCTTTATTTTTATAATTGTGCCATGGTATGTTTTATTTTCATAATAAAAATTAATAAAAGTAATATTTGAAAGAAAAAAATTACTGTGTGTTTTCCTAATTTGCAAGCATAAATGAGACTAAATCTTTGCTCTAAGGGATGCTGATTCTTTGAATTTGGATAATTTGGGTGCTAACTAATTCTCTAATATCCTAGAAAATGGTGCCGCATAGTTTAACTTACCCTGTGAAAAGCTCCTTTGAATAGGGAAGAACCACTGTTCCAGAATTTTCCTAAAGCTCCCTGCATATACTGCTTTCCAAAAAAACCCAAAAACAAACAAACAACAACAAAAACAAGCCCCACACTGTCTGAATATGTGGTCTAAATTCTTAAGTTTTCTTTTAACTACGATCATGTTGAAGCCGAATCTACGTTTCTTGCTTTATTGCCCCTTAAATTTTTAAATGAAGTCTTGGCTCCAGCTTTAACTTGTCAGTTTACTGTCTCTAAAGGTACTTTTGCTTTCTTACTTTTGTACTTTTGCTTTTTTGTTACTTGGAACATCTTTTCCTGATCTTTATTTAAGTACACCCTACCCATTTTCCAATGTCCAGTTAAAAAGCTATATCCGTTGTGACATTTTGGCACTTACTGTTTGTGCTTAGGCATTTCTCAGACACCACCTGGTATTTTTACATTCGCTTCCTAGTGCCATTTTAAACTTCTTGAGAGCAAGAAAGCTTGTCTATTTCTATCCTTTAAAGCTTCCAGCATCTGCACAGGGTAGGTGCTAAGTATTTATTCTTTGATTATACAGTGCTGTCACAGCCTCTTTTGAACCAAATTGTTGGAGTTTTTGGTTAACCAATGATCCTGGGTAAGGGTCATCAACACTTTGCCAACAACAATGTGGAAGAATAAACAAGATTGATAATTTGGCCTAATTGTCAGTTGATAGGTGATAAAGAATTGACAGTGTTTTTCACCGAAAGTAACATAAGAACCGAGTTGTGTCGTTCGTCCAGGATCCACACTTAATTCCATGTAAATATTTCTTTCAAAGATTTCCTATAAAGCTCATATGGGTTTATAGCATCGTGTTCTTACCCTCACCAGAGATCCAGTTTATTTTCCATCTGCTGTTCCTGGAACCCAAAGATCTGAAATACTCGATGGTGGGTTATATGGGTGGGCCATGACAATTGCTCTGCCCCAGAACATCTTAGGAGGTCATGTGGGAGTCTATGAGTCACAGTATGTAAAGTGCTTTGTGTTAAAGAGTTAGTATTTTTTTCTCCCATTGAAACATAATTGGGTTACTTTTCAAACTTATCTATGACTTGGGGATAGTTACTTGGCCTGTGGTAGACACTTAGGGGGCTGATCTTTTTTTTTTTTTCAATTGTTTTAATTTACAGATGTTTTCCAGGACTAATGCAACTGATGAAATACCTGCCCTTTTCTGCTCAAGGTAAGTGACTTGTTACTTTATGAAAATACCAGGTACCAGTAGAATTCAGAATTGGAATAAAAAGACCCATTCAGTCATGAAAAGTAATATAATCCCAGGCCCCAAAGAGATGATCCCTTTAGTAAGTAAGAATTTTATTAGTATGTAAAAAATGATGACTTATGTTACTGCTTCAGCCTGCCTCAGAATCACCTTAGAGCATTTTAAATATGCATAATAGGCATGTGCCTGGCTCCCCACCAGGCGGTTTTGATTTAGTCAGTTTTTGAGGTGGGGTTCCTAGCATGCAAAGTTTGAAAAGTGCCAATCAGATGCTTCAGAGTCATGGCGGCTCACTGTCTCACTGGCATGTATGTGACACGAGATGACAGAAATGTAGATAATCATGGCATGGGAATTAAAGGCTGTATGTGTCAAAGATCAAAAAAAATTATAAAGAATTTCAATTTTGTGTGTGTGTGTGTAACATTAGACTAATACTTTCATTTTGCCTTTCATTCAATGATTGTTTTAAATACATTTCGAATTTTTTTTTTTTACATTTATTTATTTTTGAGAGACAGAGAAAGATAAAGCACAAGTTGGGGAGGGGGCAGAGAGAGAGAGAGGGAGACACAGAATCCGAAGCAGGCTCCAGGCTCTGAGCTGTCAGCACAGAGCCCGATGCGGGGCTTCAACTCAAATCATGAGATCATGACCTGAGCTGAAGTCAGACGCTTAACCTACTGACCCACCCAGGCGCCCCCGTTTTAAATATATTTTGAATAAAGCACTAGAAAATTTGTTATTTTATGATTTTCAAAGTTCAGGTTTAGGCCCTAGGGTTCTCTCAGCTTGAAAATTGGCTATATCTATACACACAGCTTAAAGCTTGTTTCATTTTGTTGCTTCAGGTTAATAAATGAAGTAAAATAATGGAAAAAAGACCAAATTTTAAATAAGTCATTTTTTATATATTCTCTATTTCAGAGGCTGGTGTAATTGATTTATTTTCCCAGTAAGTGTGGAAGCCAGAAAGTCAAAGTTTGTCGTAATAAAAAGTAACAGGTGAGTGCATGTTACAATAGCATTTTGATTTAATAAAGCTCTTCTGTTCTCATTGATTTTCAGGCTTGACTTCATTTCTAAATATTGATTTTAATGAGTAAACTTTTTGTATTGCAGGATCATCTTATCAGAAATATTCTACACATTATAGGATCATTCTGTTACATATTCAACAGACAAGAATGTTTAAAATAATTCGAATTAAAACTTGATGAAATTATTTCTTAAAATTCTGTTTTCATCTTAACAAAACAGCAAAAACCTTAAAATTGTATTGAATTATTATTTAAAATAATCATTAACTGTAAACACTTTGTGTCAGTGAGTAAATAGTTGTGTATCAGAATTACTTGGGAAATGAAAAAAATTCTGAATTCTAGGCTGTCTCAGCCCTACTAAATCAGAATTTTGGGGAATGATTGTGCTATTCAGCCTGGGTTGGGAACCACTGCAGTAGGTAATGTTGAAGGATGATAGTTTCAAGGCGGTAGAAACTTGGAGACTTTTTTTATTTGTAGAGAGATCTCATTGCACCAACTGGAAGAAATTCCTCATATTTATTTGGTTTATGTAGTTGTCAGGAGAAAAGTGTCTTGTGTTTCAGACCCAAATTAGTTATTTTGATTTTTAGTAGTTCTGTCAGGTAATTTATCTTAAAATCTGCACCTTTGTGGATTAAGCAGAAAATACATGCATCTTTACTCTCGTGACGGAAGTAGATGTTAGGTATAACAATGAGAATTCATGTAACGTCAGATTTTATGTAGGAACACAATGGGAAAATTACTGAGCCTCATTCGCATATAGTGAATATGCTATAACAACAACACAGAGGTAGGAATTTGTCTTTATGGATTGAGTACTGAACCAATTCCTAATAACTGTAACAAGTTATCAGAAAATTGATAAAAAATTGAGTCCAGCCTCCACCTATCAACAACACACCCCTTTTTTGGAAGGTGCACAACTCTCCCCCTCTCCTCCAGGCTCACTGATCGACTCAGTAGCTTTTGGCAGACTTATCTAATTTCATAATTATTCAAAATAAGGGTGCATCGTACGCAAGAATGAATTTCTGTTCTCTGATATTACCAAGGGTATTTTCCTCAGGGTAGTAAGGACTTAACTGTTTGTTTGTTTTTTTCTTCCCGTTTTTTCTTTTTTCCAGTTGGAGTATTCCCGGACAGTAGCCACTTGACTTTGGTTATTCAGCATGCAGAACAGACAGGGGTACTGCAGCTATTGCTGTGTGCGCTATAATAACCTGGAACAGGTGAGAGGATCCTGTTAATAAACAGTTATACCTCAAAGGACCTAGTCATGCATTTTATTAAACTCATTTATTCACCCGAACAGATTGTTGTGAATCTTCTAATTGGTAGACACCATTTAAAGGTCTCAGGATATAGCCAGGGACAAATCTACGTCCCTTTTGTAGTATAGTAAGACAGAAAATAAATAATCATATAAACTTAATACATGATAAGTCAGATTATGATAAATGTTATGAGAAAAATAAAATAGAGAAGGGAGTGCACTTTCAGGTGGGGCTGCCAGATAAGGTTAAGGAGTGACATTTGAGTTGAGATTTCAATGAAGTTTGGGATCCAGGCTGCCTTATATCTGGGGGAAGAATTTCTAGGTAGAGGGAGGAGAGAGTAAAGACAGAGACCCCAAGGTAGAGGGGTGGTTGGCGTGCTGGTTAGAAGCCAGGAGCCGATGAGGCCAGAGTGCTAGTAAGGTGGAGGGCGGGTGTGAAGTGATAGGTGAAGAATCTAGAGAATTAGATGCTGTAAGACATTGTAGAATAAGGTAAGGACTTAGAAGATTATGCTTCCATGCGCAAATGTTTTAGATGTTGCTATAGTTTAGATTTTTTTCCCCTCCTCTTGTTGCTTGTGTTTTTGGGGTTGTAAAAGATTGCTGGGTCCAAGGTCATGAACAGTTATGCCCTGTATTTTCCTCTAAGAATTTTATAGTTTTTGTTCTTACATTTAGGTCTCTGATTCATTTTCAGTTAATTTTTTTATATGTTGTGATTTTAATTCCCTCCTAGAAGCCCTGTCTCCAAATACAGTCACATTGAAAGTTAGAACTTCAACATAGGAGTTTGGGGCCTGGGGGACACAATTCAGTCTGTAGCAATTAATATTGATTGAGTTTTAGCTATTAAGCCAATTTTATATCCCTGGGCTAAATCCCACTTGGTCATGGTGCTTAGTCCTTCTGTATGTTCCTGGATTTGGCTTGCCAGTATTTTGTTGAGGATTTTTGCGTCTATTTCGTAAGAAATATTGTCTGTAGCTTTCTTTTCTTGTGATGTTTTTGGTTTCAGAACTCGGGTGATGCTGGCTTCAGAGAATGAATTGAGTAGTGTCCCTTTCTTTTTGTTGGAAGAGTTTGGGAAGAATTGTATATGGACGTTTTGAAATCAGTATTCATAGTAATAGTAGCTGTAGGTCTTCTGAACAGAATTGTTCATTTGGAAGAGCCTCAAGGTTTTCTTCAGGGTCTGAGCTGTGGAATTGTGTCATAGGTGAAGGAGTAATATAAGGAAGCTCTGGTCCTGTTAGTCTATACTATTCTATCTTAAGTGATATCTAAGACACGTTTGTCCTACGTAAAAATTCTGCTGTTCAGTGGCATTTGTTTTGTTTAGTTATCAACAGTCATCATTTAAATTCATACTAAGGAAAAGTTATTATGATTTCCACATCTCTGCCTTTTAACAGAAAAAAACTTTCTACTGCTGGTTATAAACACGAGGCGGCAGATAATAAATCTCAAGGCTGTCTTTAGTGTTTCTGTCATGATCGATAAAATGATGCCATTACTTGACTTGGATGATTACTTGTTGAACTTTTGATACTACTAAAACATTGAATCTTTAACTACAAGTTCTATTCAGTAAGCATTCGGTATAACTTTTTGCCAAAGGTTTAAAATAATTTTTAGACATTTGGATACTCATGTACTAAGCAGGCACTTTAAAAGACTGTTGAAGGGGTACCTGGGTGGCTCAGTTGGTTAAGTGAAGGACTCTTGGTTTCGGCTCAGGTGGTGATCTCATGGTTTATGGGATGGAGCCCCATGTTGCGCTCTGTGCTGACATCACAGAGCCTGCTTGGGATGCTCTCTCTGTCTGCCCCTCCCCTGCTTGCTTGTGTGTGCGCGCTCTCTCTCTCAAATAAGACTTAAAAAAAGACCCTGTTCATGACAGCTGAAGTAATTTGCACTAAGTACAAAGTCTTAAATAAATAGATAAATTTCATGGCTTTGGAGAACTCTAAAGGCAGTGGAGAAATAGAGGACCCAGGTGTAGCTGAAGATTCAACAGAAACAATGGAAACCCAAAGAAAGAAAACAACTACCAATTTAGTATTCGATGCTTAATAAATATATCCTTGAAAAAAAAGGTGAAATAGAAATATTTTCAGAAAACGAAAATTAAGGGAATTTACTGGCAACAGACCCTGACTGAAGGAAATACTAAAAAGAGTTCTTCAGACAGAAGGAAAATGATTTCAATTGGAAGCTTAGAGATACGGGTAGTCAGGAAGATCAGTGGAAAGGTAGCAGGTGATTTAAATGAATGATATCTTGTGGCATTGACAACGATGACATATAAACTGGAAGGAAAGTAAATCGAGTAAATTCCTTGCTTAAGAAGAGAGTAAAAGTAGCAAGTGATTTTAGATCTTGGTAGGTCAGGGTTGCTTGTGATAATCTGTTACCACTAACAGACTAGAAAAAGAGCCTGGCCTATAACTACCTACCAACTTAACAGAAGTGGAGAACTTGGAATAATAAAAAGTGGTCCACAAGAAGGAAAGAAAGAAGAGACATAGGGACATCGCATAGGCAGGAGTAATGAAAACAGTTTTAAAAATAAAAACAAAGATTAAATCCAAATGCATCAGTACTCTATTAAGTAATAGACTTGATGCTTGAATTAAACTATTCAATATTTTATCGGAGGTTCTAGCAAGGGAAATAAAGAGAAAGAAAATGATACATATTAGATAAAAAGAAACAAAACTGTGATTGTACCTTGCACAAAGTGTGATTGTAGATGTAGAAAACCTAAAGATATCTAGGTAAACTATTAGAATTGATAAGTGAGTTTAATAAGCTTGTTGGGCAACATAAAAAGAAATTGTATTTTTATATCTAACAGCATACAGAAAATGAGATCTAAAAAAGGTATTTAATAATAGCATCAAAGAACATGAACTCCTTAGGAATAAATATAACAAAATATGTATAAGGTTTTTATGTAGAAAACCATAAACACTGAGAGAAATATAAGAAAAATTAAATAATTGGTGTGATATACCAATCGGAAAAATCAATATTGTAACCATGTCAGTTTTCCCCAAACATATATATTGATTTAATGAAATTCCAAACAAAATTCTGGGAAAGTTTTTTTTTTAAGAATGTATTTTTAAGTAGTCTCCACACCCAACAAGGGGCTTGAACTCTCAACTCCGAGATCAAGAGTCAAATATTCCACCAACTGAGTGAGCCAGGCACCCCTAGAAGAGTTGTTTGTAATGAAAATTAAGCCAGTTCTAAAAATATGTATGCACATGCAAAAGGCTAGGAAAAACCAGGATAATCTTATAGAAGAACAAAGTCAGGAGGCTTCGTGTACCAGGTATCAAAATTTATTACTAAACTACAATCATTAAATTTTTTTTTTTTAACGTTTATTTATTTTTGAGACAGAGAGAGACAGAGCATGAACGGGGGAGGGTCACAGAGAGAGGGAGACACAGAATCTGAAACAGGCTCCAGGCTCTGAGCTGTCAGCACAGAGCCCGACGCGGGGCTCGAACTCACAGACCATGAGATCATGACCTGAGCCGAAGTCGGACACTTAACTGACCAAGCCACCCAGGCGCCCCTAAACTACAGTCATTAAGACAGCGATGCAAAGTTAGAAAGACCATGGAAGGAAACCAAAAACTCTAGAAACCGACACATACATGGATATTTGATTTGTGACAAATATGGCCGTAAAGAAAGGTGAGGACAGGACTTTCTTCCATAAATGGTACTGAGTCAGTTGGATAGCCATATGGAGAAGAAATGAAACTCTATTACTAAATCATCCTGGATACAAATGCCAATTTCAAGTAGATTGTAGATGTACATATTACAGGTAAAAACAACAAGACTTTTAGAAATAAACAGAAAATCTTTATGATTCTGAGTTAGGGAGGGATATCCTAAACTAGTAACAAAAAGCACTGAAAAAGAAAAAAATTGGTAAATGGACTGCAGTGAAGTTAAGAAACAATGGGGGATGATTAAGAAGGTGGAGAGGTATCCTGTAACTATTGCTGGGAAAGCTGTGGATTTACTCTGCATGTGTGTGTGTGCTCACAAAAATAAACTTTATGAACCCTCTGCCCCCAAAAGAAAAAGTGAAAAGATAAGCCATTGAGAGAAGGATGATATTTGAAACACATATAATTGAACAAAGAGTTCATGTTGAGAATAAATAATTTTTACACTTCGTTAAAAAAAAAAAGAACATGCATTTGGAAGACAGGAAGAGACTTGAACAGACACATCATGAAGGAAGATATCCAGGTCACCACTAAAAACGAAAAGCTATCACAAAAATTGCAAAGTAAAGCAACAGTGATAACAACATTAAACCCGTTCTACAGTAGCTAAAATTAAAGAGACAATGGCAAGTGTTGATGAGGAAATGGAGGGATGAAAACCATGACACGTTGCTGATGAGGGTACAGATCGGTATAGCTGCTTTGGAAGACATCAGTGCAGAGCCTGATGTGGGCTTGATCCCGTGGTGAGTTCATGACCTGAGCTGAAATCAAGAGCCAGATGCTTAACTGACTGAGCCACCCAGACACCCCAAGAGAGTGATTCAACTCTCTTCTCTTTTTTAATAGATTTTTATTATAAAGATATTTGCTTGGGAAAAATACAAGAATTTATTTATTTTTTATTAAAAAACATTTTTTTTTAATGTTTATTATTTGAGAAAGAGCAAACAGGGGAGGGGCAAAGAGATAGGGAGACACAGAATTGGAAGCAGGCTCCAGGCTCTGAGATGCCAGCATAGAGCTTGACGCGGGGCTCGAACCCACAGACTGCGAGATCATGACCTGAGCTGAAGCTGGCCACCCAACCAAGCCACCCAGGCGCCCCCAAAAATAAGAATTTATAAGAAAAAATTTAAAATTACCTCTAAGTGTACCTCACAGATGTTAATGATTTTAAAATTTTGGTTTATTTTCTTCCATTAACTTGTCTATACCTTTTAAAACTATAGTTTCAGGTAAAAGCATACATGTAATTTTTGCATCTTCCATTTTTCTTCTAATATGTAACATTCCTCCATGTTACTTAAAATTCTTTGTATTATTTTAGGTAGCTGTACAGTATTACATCTTAGGGTATAATTTAAATATTTTACTGTTAGACATTTTGGAGATTTCCCGTTTTTTGTTGTTAAGCTTGTTTTTGTAAAAATCGTCCACATTTAAGATGATTTCCTTAGGACAGATTTAGAGAAATGTAATTATTATATTGAAGGGAAAGGTCCTTGTATGATTTTTAGATGCATATTTTAGAATTGCTCTATAGAATGTTCATGTCAATTTATACTTCTACCAGGAGTATATAAACGAATCCATTTGTGAAACTCACTACTAATGAGTATTACCTGTGTAAAACTATTCAGTTTTTTTTTTTTTAATAGCATATGTCCAGTGCTCAGCACAGATACTTGACTACACAGAATCGACAGCGGATGGGTACCACTAGTTTGATGGAACGTTTCTTGCAGGATGTACTCCGGCACCACCCATATCATTCTCAAGAAAGCAGGTAAAGTAGCTGAGTGGGACCATATTAGTCCGCAGTTACTGTATGTTACAGTAGATGTTTGTGTTAACTTTCTAGTACTTCTTAAAGTAAATCTTTTAATTAAGGAATATACAGTGAGATTTTTATCTAGTAACTTCTTTTTGCAATTCTTTAAAAATTTTTCCTAGCTTAAATAAGCAATTTCACTGTAAAAGGTATGGACTACACCATACTTTTCTCTAAATAAATGTCTTAGGCCAATAAATAATTCTATATTAAGGCATTCTATTAAGGATGTCATAGGATTAAGCTGGGGAAAAGGTGGGGGCAAAAATAGCTTTTAATTTTTTGTAACGTGTGTTTACTTTTGAGAGAGAAAGTAAAAGCGAGAGTGAGAGAAACTGAGCACAAGCAGGGGAGGGGCAGAGAGGGAAGGAGATACAGAATCTGAAGCAGGCTGCATGTTCTGAGCTGTCAGCATAGAGCCTGATGTGGGGCTCGAACCTACGAACCGAACCGTGAGATCATGACCTGAGCTGAAGTTGGATGCTTAACTGACTGAGCCACCCAGGCGACCCAATGCTTACTTTCAAAAGATTAGTAACAGACAACGTGGTGACAGTAATGGAGAGTAAGGGTGGTCTAAGTAAAAACTAAGTCTGTTCCACTTTAATTGAACTATTTGCTAACTCAATAGAAGAGACCTCAAATAGAATTGGCTTTTTAATGATCTGTCAGTATCTTGAGAGCTTGTATCAATTTTGATTGAAATTTTAATAAAAATAAATTTTTTGGTAACATTGAAGAGTTAAAGGAAAACATTGGTAGAAGGTTGGACTAAATAGTGTGGTGAGTTTGCAGCTACAGCTGTATGAGAAAGCAAAATAGATTATTAGCACATCTGTGCAGAATTAATTGTTGAGATAGTGACCAGCAGTTTCTAGAAAAAGGGTAAACTTGAATGCTTTGCAGATCACAACCTGGAATTTAGCGAATGATGAAAAGTTTAAATGGGGACATTTTTTTTTTTTTCAACGTTTATTTATTTTTGGGACAGAGAGAGACAGAGCATGAACAGGGGAGGGGCAGAGAGAGAGGGAGACACAGAATCGGAAACAGGCTCCAGGCTCTGAGCCATCAGCCCAGAGCCCGACGCGGGGCTCAAACTCACGGACCGCGAGATCGTGACCTGGCTGAAGTCGGACGCTTAACCGACTGCGCCACCCAGGCGCCCCTAAATGGGGACATTTTTAAAAAATGTTATTTTTTAGCCGTTGGAAAGATGATCTTGTGGTGAGTATAAATTTCCAGTTTATAGCTTGTATAAGCAGTGCTTCAACACACATATTTGTACATGCAGCTATTTCTGTGGTGTGCATTTCTAGAACTTGAACTTCTGGGCTAAAGTTTCTGGACCTTAAAAAGTACATAATTTTTTTTATTATTTAACCTTTCGTTTTGGAGTTATTTCAGGCTTACAAAAAAGTGCAAAACTGGTACAAGGAATTCTTGTATAACTTTCACCTGACTTCTTCAGATGTTAAATCTAAAATAGTCACATCACAGTGATCAAATCCATGGAATTACATCGGTGCTATACTATTTGTAGACAAAATCTTACTCAGATTTTGTCAGTTGTCTTTCTAATGTCCTTTATTTTGGGACCAGGATTCAGTCCAGGAGCACATATGGCATTTAGTTGTTCCATCTCCTTAGACTCCCTGAATCATGAACAGTTGCTTAGTCTTTTGCTTTCAAGACTTGGACACTGCTGGCCACTTATTTTGTATGATGTCCCTACATTGGGGTATGCCTGACATTTTCTCATGATTAAACTTAGGTTATGCGTGTGGGAGAAGAACAAATTATAGTTGATGTGCCCTTCTCAATGTATCCAGAGACCCATGATGTTGCCATGTCTCATGGCTGGTGATGTTAACTTGGATCACTTAATTTTAAGGTGGCTTCTCTACTGTAATGTTCCTGTTTTCCCCATTATAATTAATGACAAGGACTTTGAGACTATGTAAATAAATATCCTGTTTCTCATTGTACTTCCACTCGCTTGTATTAAACATTGATTGATGATTCTTCCCTGAAACAGTTATTACATGTATTAATCAGAATTCTACCTTTATAAAGAAGGGCTTTCTGGTTGTCTCACTTATTTATTGAGTTATCTGTTTATATCATTATAAACTCATGGATATGTCTTTTGTGGGTTTTAATCCTTTACTATTAATTTATTTTGTTGCTCCAGGTGTGTGTGTGTGTGTGTGTGTGTGTGTGTGTGTGTGTAAATTTAAAAATCTTGAGACACTTCCTAGAAGGCTATGCCAATTTATATGCAATTTATATTATATACATATTCATAGTTGTCTATGAGAAAGCTCATTTCTTATCACTCTTGCCAACACTGGGATTAGCAACTTTTACCCCCCTAACATAACAGGCCAAAACCATGTGTCCCTTAATTAGCCTTTATTTACTTACGAATAAAATAGATCATCTCTCTATATATGTTTATTAGCCATATGTTTATTTTATGAATTGTTTGTAGATTTGCCTGTTTTTCTATTGAGTTATTTGTATATTTTGGATTTGGATGCAATATTTATAGATAATAGTCCTTTGTATCTTAAATAGGTTGATTATTTTCTCAAAATCTGTCCAGTGTCTTTCATCTGTGTGTATTGTCTTTTACTATATAGAAATTAAACATTTTGGCATAATTCGATACAAGGGGACTTTTCCTTTATGGCTTCTTTCATGACTTTTCCTTCATGTCCTTATTTCTACTTTTAAATATTAAAAAAAATTTTTTTAATGTTTATTTTTGAGAGAGACAGAGATAGAATGCAAGTGGGTTGGGGCAGAGAGAGAGGGAGACACAGAATCTGAAGCAGGCTCCAGGCTCCGAGCCATCAGCACGGAGCCTGACGCGGGGCTCAAACTCACAAACCGTGAGATCATGACCTGAGCCGAAGTCGGATGCTCAACGGACTGAGCCACGCAGGCGCCACTACTTTTAAATATTTTTAATTTTCCTGGAATTTGTTTTTATACGTGGTGTGAGGTAGGGCTTATTATTATTATTTTTTATAAACATATATTATCTCCACTGATAAAATGTCACATTAGGGCCACCTGGCTGGCTCAGTTGGTAGAGCACGGGACTCTTGATCTCCAGTTGTGAGTTCAAGCCCCACATTGGGTGTGCAGATTACTTTAAAAACAAAAAAATGTCAACGGTAACATAAGCTAAATTCCTGTATTTTTGTATCTATATATCTGATTTTGAATTCCATTTTCTTACCTTGAGGTTTTTTAATCTCATGTAACATATTATGTTTATAAGCATTCTTGAATTACAGAGTTTGCTTTTTAAAGTTTCTTCTCTCTTCCCCTCTTATCTAGACATTGCAGGTTTTTGTATTATTTTAGCCTTCTTGAAAATCAGCTCTTGGTTTGTTTTTGTTTTCTATTTATTGGTTTTTCTTTTTCTTGTTTCCTCAGATTTCCTAGGTTGGGGGGGGAGTTTGGTTATTTTTTTGTTTTTTTTTTTTTAAGTTTTTTTTTATTATTAAGTTTATTTATTTTGATAGAGAACGAGCGAGCACAAGCGGGGGAGGGACAGAGAGGAGAGACAGAATCCCAGTGTGGAGCCCTTTGTGGGGCTAGAACTCACAAACCGTGAGATCATGACCTGAGCCAAGATCAAGAGTGAGAGGCTTGAACTGTGCCACCCAGGTGTCCTGGTTATTTTTTCTGTCTTCCTGAATTAATTGCTCATTTAATTCATTTGTGTCTACCAAATCCTTTATTAGTGGAAGATTTAAAAGTGTGAGGTTTCCATTTTGATCACATTTCATAGATTTGATATATAGTTTTTAAATTTTATTTATAGATTTCAGAAACGTAGCACAAGAGTTACGTAAAAGGGGTTTTGAATCTTTAACGGTTAGGTTTTTAGAGGGCTTTTTGGTGTAAAATGAGTTTAAAATGAGTAGAAATGTAGATTGTGGTTTAGTTGTTAATTTTGAGCATGTGCAAATACAGTTGTAAATCAAAGCATCTAGATGGTGAACCCTATAACTTTTGGGATTTTGCCTGATTGTTTGATTTTATGATACTGCCTTCCTCTTGTTTGCCAAATGTTACAAGATTAATTTTATTTTCAGATTGTTGTGACAGTCTTTAAGACAAATACATGGGGATGGTCTTCAGGGGTTCTGAGAAACTAGGGTTAAGTGGCATTTCTCCTGCAGTTTTATTGATGAGAATTCAGAAGTATGAACAGTTTTGGAATTTTTTTGCCCCGTCATATGCTTCTGATATCTGGGTTAACTTTTTAATTTTACAAGTACCAAAAAAATATGTTATTTTAGTGTTAATCATGGTAAATTTTCAGGGGAAAGAAATCATGATATTTATGATATGTTAAAAAAAAGTTGTGGGGCACCTGGCTGGCTCATTCAGTGGAGCATGTGGCTCTTGATCTGGGGGTTGTGCGTTTGAGCCCCACGTTGGTTGTGGAGATTACTTAAAAATAAAAAAGCTTTAAAAAAAAGTTGCATGTGACTGACACGTATATACATTTCTCTTAGATGATTGAGGCATCTCGCAAATATAAAAATATTTAATAAAGGTACCTTTTAGGTGTTAATGTATTTTTAAAAACTTATTTTTAATAGACTACATTTTAGGACAGTTTTAGATCAACAGAACACTTGAGAAGGTAGTACACAGAGTTCCTGTATACCTTCCCCATCTAGTTTCCATGTTACTAACAACTTAACACTGGTATGGTACACTTGTTACAATTAATGGACTCGTATTAATACATTAAGTTCTGTAGTTTATTCGGTATTCTTAGTTTTTACCTAATGTCTTTTCCTGTTTCAAGATCCCACCTAGGATAACCATGTTCCATCATGTTGTCATGTCTCCTTAGACTCCTCTTGGCATTTTTAATTTTAATAGACATTGCCAGATTGTTGTTCATAGAGATTAAACTAACCTATACCTCTACTAACAATGTATTAAAGTGCCCCTGTCATGACACCCTTGCCAAAACAATGTGTTGCTATAAACACTGGGGTGCTTGTAGCCCTTTGGATTAGTACTTTTGTATTCTTTGGGTAAGTACCTAGTAGTGCAGTTGCTGGATCCTAGGGTAGTTCTGTTTTTAACTTTCTCCATACTGTTTTCCCAGAGTGGCTGCACCAGTTTGCACTCCCACCAACGGAGCAAGAGAGTTCCCCTTTCTCTGCATCCTCGCCAACACATTTCATTTCTTGTGTTGTTGATTTTAAGCCACTCTGACAGGTGTGAGGTGATATCTCATTGTAGGTTTTTGATTTGTAGTTCCCCGATAATAAGTATCTTTTTGTGTGTCTGTTCACCATCTGTAATGTCTTTGGAAAAATGTCTGTTCCTGTCTTCTGTCTTTTTTTTTTTTTCCCAATCGGATTGTTTGTTTTTGGTGTGTTGAGTTGTAGAAGTTCTTTATATATTTTGGATACTAATCCTTTATCAGATATGTCATTTCCAAGTATCTTCTCCCATTTGGTAGGTTGCCTTTTTTTTTTCTCTAACGTTTGGTTATTTTTGAGAAAGAGCGTGCGTGCGCCCACATGAGTGGGGGAGGGGCAGGGGGAGAGAGGGAGACACAGAATCTGAAGCAGGCTCCAGGCTCTGAGCTGTCAGCACAGAGCTCACAAACCTCGAACTCACACACCTTGAGATCATGACCTGAGCTGAAGTCAGACACATAACTGACTGAGCCATTGAGGCACCCCGAGTGGTAGGTTGCCTTTTGGTTTTGTTGATTGTTTCCTTCACTGTGTAGGAGCTTTTCTTGGATGAAGTCCCAATAGTTTATTTTTCTGGAAACATACCTAGGAAGAAGTTGCTCTTACTGATGTCAGAGACGTTGTTACTGTCTGTGTTCTCCTTTAGGATTTTAATGGTTTCATATCTTACATTTAGGTCTTTAATCCATTTTGAATTTATTTTTGTGTTTGGAGCATTATCTCCAATAGCCAAGTTATGGAAACAGCCCAAATGTCCATTGACTGATAAATTGGTAAAAAAGTTGTGGTATATATATACAACGGAATACTGCTCAGCCACGAAACAGAACAGAATCTTGCCATTTGTAACCATGTGGCTAGAGCTAGAGAGTATTATGCTAAGCGAAATAATTCAGTCAGCGAAAGACAGATACTGCATGATTTTACCATATGTGGAATTTAAGAGACAAAACAAACGAGCATAGGGGAAAAAGAGAGGAGAGAAAAGTCAAGAAACAGACTCTTAACTATAGAGAACGGATGGTTACCAGAGGGGAGGTGAGTGGGAGGATGAGTGAAATAGGTGATGGGGATTAAGGAGGGCACTTGTTGTGATGAGCACTGGGTGATGTATGAAAATTCTTGAATCACTATATGGTACACCTGAAACTAATATATGACACTCTATGTTACCTAACTGGAATTTAAATAAACACTTCAAAAGAAACGACAATGTGTTAAGATTTGTGAATTCACAAACTAACATTTGTGAATGATTACTATTTTCCGGGTCTTTTAAAAAATGCTCTTTACGTAGTAAAACTAATGTACTCCTCAAAACAATCTCTTGGGGGAAAATAATACTATATTCTTTCTCTAGGAGAAAACCGGAGCCTGGAAGGTGAAGTGACTGATGTTAAACTTTTTACTGTTTACCACTCTGATATATGGCTTTTTTTTTAAGAACAGTTTTCATGTTTAGGAGCCATCTGTGTTGATTTTATTCTTTTTTAATTAAAAAAAAAGTTTTTTTTAAAGTTTATTTTGAGAGAGAGATTGCGGGTGGGGAAGGGGAAGAGAGAGAGGGAAAGAGAGTCCTGAGCAGGCTCTGTGCTGTCCGTGCAGAACCTGACTTGGGGCTCGAACTCAAAAACTGTGAGATCATGACCTGAGCTGAAACCAGGAGTTGGACACTCAACCAACTGAGCCACCCAGGTGCCCTGCCATTTGTGTTTATTAAGTAGCAATTGGTGGAGCTTCTTCCATCTCCTGCACTGATTTACCTACCTGAAAACACACATAGTGTACAGCCTCATGGGATTGCCTTGATTCTTTGTCCCCTTAACAACTGGGCCCAGGACGCAAAGAAAATAACCTTTATTATGCCTTTACCTTAACATTCTATTAGAATATATTTATGGATTTTTCTCCTTGCTTTCTAGATCAATGCAAAATGAGAGACTTCTTACGAATACTGCGTCACCTACCGTGTCACCTACTGCGTCACCCTCTGAAGTGGTTACTGTTGATGATTGTATTTCTGAAGAAATGACTGATGATGCTGCTGGTGTCAAAGGAGAGAGCTCCCCCAAGGGTTTTGAACCTAGTAAAGAGTTACATTCTAGACCTAGTAAATCTCAGGAATATATACAGGGGGTTTCAGTTAGACCATCGGTTATCCAAAAACTGGAGAAGGGACAGCAGCAGCCCTTGGAGTTTGTTCATAAAATTGGGAGTGGTGTGAAAGAATTTAATCCAGTTGGTATTGGTCAAGCTACAAATAATAGACAGAGCTTAATATGTCCCTCGGTGATTTCTAGTGCTCCTGCTAGTTGTTTACCTGGAAGTTCCTATGACAGACCGGTTACAACTAAAACGACTAGGTCACCAGCAGCAGCCAGTTTGGGTCCAGTCAGAAAATGTGACCCAAACAAAGTTGACAGATACCTTGAACAGCCAGACAGGGGCTCTAGAAATTCTGTGCTATCATCCAGTCTAGAAACTTCTTCAGTTTCATATCAGAAACCTAAAGAATCAGACAGAAAATCTTTATGTACAAATTCAGATAAATTGATTATACGGGAAGATGTAAAGTCTCAGTGTAAAACTTTGTCAACTGGCGCTAAAGTCCGTGAATTTATGGGTACTGAAGGCTCTTTAAAATCTGAATCTCTTTCCAAATTGGCTGTAAACCAAGCAATCAATGTGAATAAAACTGGTATGCCTTCTAATAAAGGACTCTTTGAAGATGCTGCTGCAAAGCACCGTGAGAAATTCTTTTCAGGTATGGATCAGACCCAAGAGGAAAAGCATTTGGTTTTTAATAAGTCAGCCTTTTTGGAACAGAAGAGCTCAGTGATTTCTGAAACAAAGTTTGCTCGTGGCTGTCTTCAGTCAGCATGTAATCAACCCGAAGAGGCTGCACAAGACCTTTGGAAGGAAGAGCAAGTTGACCAAGAAGATAAAAACTATGAATCGAGAGCTTCTGAAATGAGTTTTGACTGCAGTTCTTTTCATTCACTGACTGACCAGTCTAAAGTGACGGCCACAGAAGTAAATGTTTCAGAGGAAGTATATGCTGATCTGCAGTGTAAGAATGATAAATCTTATGTTTCTGAAGTAAGTTCTGATGGTGCTGGCTCTCTTCAGTTGGCTACCAACCGGACTCAAGTAATTGTTAAAGGTGTAAGTGCTCAGAAGGCAAAGCCTATTAGCCTGGTTGATGAAAGCTATGAATCTAGTGATTCTGAGATTAATTTTGATTGTGATGCCTTACTTCAATCACCTGATGACTACCCCCGACAGCCTGCAAAAGAAGGAAACCTTTCTAAGGAGGAACACCTTGACTTGGTTGATAAGAACTATGGATCTAGTAGCTCCGAAATAAGTACTGATTCTGCTTTGCCTCTTCAGTCGCTGGGTGACCAACTCCCAGTGGCTGTCACAGAAGCAAAACTTCAGAAGGTTCACATTGGCTTGGTTGATAAGAACTATGGATCTAGTTGTTCTGAAACAAGTACTGATAATGATGTTTCTCTTCAGTCAGTAGTTGACCATCCCCAACTGGTTGTCAAAGAAAGAAGCCTAAAGGATAGGCATGTCTATCTGAAAGATAAGAGCCATACATCCAGTAGTGCTAAAGAACATCTTGATTATGTGGTCTCTCTTGACACAGTGACGGATGAATCTCAGAGGGCTGTTGAAGAAATAAGTCTTCTGGAAGAGAAGAATGAGCCTGTGGATATGAACTATGATTCTCATGGTTCTGAAATGAGTTTCCACACAGATGCTCGATTAATGGCTGGCCAATCAGGAGTAATAGTTAAAAAAGTAAACCTTCGAGAAGTACCTGTTGACCTGGAGGATAAGAGTGTTAAGTCTAGCAATTCTGATCAGAGTTTTGATTCTAATGCTTCTCTTTATCAATCGGTTAGTGATCAGCGTCAAGGGGCTCTGGGTGAAATAAGCCTGAAAGAGTTAAATTTTGATATGGAAGTTAAGAGCTATGGATGCTCCAGTTCTGAGCTGACTTTTGAATCTGATCCCCCTGCTAGGTCAGGTACTGAGCAGTCTGAGATGGACATTGAAGAAATAAGAAAAAGGCACATTAATTTGGAAGATCACTGTGGTTCAAATAGTTCTGGAATAACTTTTGATTCTGATACTGCTTCCCGCTCAGGAGGTGACCAGTCTCAAGTAGCTATTTATGTGGAGGAACCTAGTCCTCTGGAAAATAAGACTCCTAAGTCTTGTGTTTCTGAAGTAACTTTTGACTCTGGCATACCTGTTCAGTCGGGAATGAATCAACCTGGGCTAGCTGTTAAAGAAGTAATCGTTCAGAAAGAAGACTATATCCACTTGGGAAGGAAGAATGTGGAGCCCAGTGGTTCTGAAATAAGTCTGGATTTTTATGTCCCTCCTCATTCAGTGATTAACTCTCCTGAAATAGCTTTGGAAAAGCTAAATCTTCAAAAAGAAGAGCAGATCTACCTGGAAAGTAAGGTAAATGAACCTAGTGTTTCTGAATTAAGCTTGGATTATATTTTTCATTCAATTACTGGACATTCTAAAGATCCCCTTCAAGAAGTCAACCTTCAGAAAGAAGAGCACATACACTTAGAAAATAAAGGTAACGGACCTGGTATTTCTGAAATCAGTTTGAAACCTGACATGTCTTTTCATTTAGTGACTGATCATCCTAACATAGCTGAACCTGACATGTCTTTTCATTTAGTGACTGATCATCCTAACATAGCTGTGAAAGAAACAAGCCATCAGAAAGAACACATAAACTTACAAGATAAGGAAAGTGAATTAAGTGTTTATGAAACAGGTTTGGATTCTGGTATCCACCTTCATCAGTCAGTGACTCAGAAGCCTGAAATAGCCGTTAAAGAAATATGGCTTCAAAAAGAAAAGCTTGTTAAATTCAAAAGTCAAAGTGCTAAATTTAGTGGTTCTGAAACAGGTTCTGATGTACCTCATTATTTAGTGCCTGAACCTCAGATAGCTGTCGAAGAAATCAGTGTTCAGAAAGAAGAACATGTTCTAGAAAAGCGTGACAAATACAGTAGCTCTGGAATAATGTTTGATGCTGATGTCCCTCCTCAGTCAATGACTGAAACACCTCACATCGCTGTTTTGAAGGAGGACCGTGTTGACCCGGAAGGTGAAAGTACTGGATCGAGAGGTTTTGCAATAAATTTGGATATCGGTGCCCCTCTTCATTCAGTCATTGGTCAACCTCAGCCAACCCTCTTGAAGGAAAGAAACGTTCTTCTGGAAGATAAAAACAGTGAATCTAGTCATTGTAAGGTAAGGTTTGATTATGGTGACCCTCTTCGGCCATTGACTGGGCAATTTCAGGAAGTGGTTAGGAGAACAACCCTGTGGAAGGAAGAGGATATTGGACTGCAAAATAAAGTGTTTGAAACTAGTGGTTCTAAATTAATCCATGGTTCTGGTGTTTCTCTTCAGCCCGTGGCTGATCAGCCTGAAGTGGCTGTTAAACGAGTAAACCTTGAGAATGAAGGTCATGTGAATGTGGAAGATAAGCACAGCCAATGTAGTGGTTCTGAAATGAGTTTGGATTCTGATTTCTTGGTTCAGTCCATAGTTGATCAACCTCAAATAACTATTTTGGATCAGGACCATATTGAGCTAGAAGAGAAGCACAGTCGGTCTGGTGGTTCTGAAATAAGTTTTGATTCTGAGGATCCTCTTCAGTCAGTGGCTGACCAGGTTAGAAAAACCGTTAAAGAAATAAGCCTTTGGAAGGATGAAGTTGATGTGGAAGATAAGAGGGATGAAGGTGATGTGGAAGATAAGAGGGATGAAGGTGATGTGGAAGATAAGAGGGATGAAGGTGATGTGGAAGATAAGAGGGATGAATCCAAGGGTTTTGAAATTGTGTATGATTCTGATATCCTTTTTCAGTCAGTGGCTGGCCAAACTGAAGAAGTCGTTAAGGAGATCAACCTTTGGAAGGAGCACGTTGACTTGCAAGGGAAGATTGTGGAACCTATTGGTTCTAAAATAAATTTTGATGCTAATGAACCTCTCCATTCTGTGGCCAATGAAATTCAAGAGGCCATTACAGCAGAAATAAATCTTCTGAGGGAAGGGCATGTCTGTCTGGATGATAAGGGCTATGAACCCAACGATTCTGAAATAATTTATGTTTCAGATATCCCTCTTCAGTCCGTAGTTGAGCAGCCACACATTTTGGAAGGGGAACATGTCAACTTGGAAGATAAGAGCAATGTTTCTTGTCCCGAAATAACTTTTATTTCCGATGATCATCTGCAGTCAGTGGCTGACCAGCTTCAAAAATCTGTTAAAGAAGTAAGTCTTTGGAAGGAAGACCGTATTTACCTGGAAGATAAGAGCTATAAACTTGGTGACTTCGAAGTAAGTTACGATTCTGATGTTCCTGTTCACTTTGTGGCTGATCAGTCTCCTCTGACTGTCAAAGAAATAAACTCGCAAAAGAGGGGTCATACTGACCTAGAAAGTAAGAGCTGTGGACCTAGTGTTTCTGAAATAAAATGTGATTCTGGTGTTCATTTTCAGTTAGAAGTTGACCAGTCTCAAGTGGTGTGCAAAGAAATAGATCTTCCGAAGGAACGGCATCTTGGCATGGAAGTAAAGAGCAGTGAACCTAGTGATTCTGAAATGATGTGTGATTCTGATGTTCCTCTTGAAATAGTGGTTAACGAACTTCAGGTGTCAGTTAAAGAAGCAAATCTTCGGAAGATGCTCTTTGTGGACCTGGTGACCAGTGATAGTGATTGTGAAGTGATTGCTGAGTCTGATACCCCTTTTCAGCCAGTGATTGACTCCCCTCACATGACTGTCAAAGAAATCGATTGTATAAATACGGAAGATTTTGATCTAGGTGAGTGCTGTGACTCTTGTGATTCCGAAGTAGGATATGTTTGTGAAGCATCTCCTCCATCAATGACAAATGAACCCAAAGAGACTTTCAAAGTAGTAAACCAGAAGAAAGACTATATTATTCTCCAAGAGTCCAGCTGTGAGTCTTACGGTTCTGAAATAAAATTTCAAATCGATCCCCCAGATAGGTCTGTGACTTACCCATTGCAAGGCTCTGATAAAGAAATGGTGACATTTGTTGACTCAGAAGCTAAGAGTTGTAGACCTCATAGTCCTAAGACACACTTTAAATGGGAAGACAATTCTGAGCCTGTGACTAGCAAACTTCAGAAAGCTGATAAAGGAAGCAACTTTTGTCACAGGAAAGACGAAAATACTGGCCGAAAAGATAAGCACTGTGAATCGAGGGGGTCTGCGGCGACTCGCAAAGCCTCTCCTGGGTCAGCAGGCCGTCAAAGGGCTGGTAAAGGAAACCCGAAGTTAAAACATGCAGATCGAGAAAGTAGGAGCTGCGAACCATGCGGTTCTGGGATGAGTTTTCAGTGTGATCGCTCTCTTCAGTCTGATAGTGGCCAGCCTCAACAAGCTGTTAGTAAAAAGGAAGGATTTAAGAAGAGGTCTGTGGACCTAAAAGGAAAAAAAGGCGATTCCCGTTCAGGCCCTGTTCTCAGGGTTTCTTCTGTAAGGAACCGGGAAAAAGCAAAGGAGGTCATAGAAGACAATCCCGATGAACCAGTTCTCGAAGCCTTGCCTCATGTCCCTCCTTCATTTGTAGGCAAGACATGGTCTCAGATAATGAGAGAAGATGACATGAAAATTAATGCTCTGGTGAAGGAATTCAAGGAAGGTCGTTTCCACTGCTACTTTGATGACGACTGTGAGACCAGGAAAGTAAAAAAAAAAAATTTGAATAAAGGAAAAAAGATTACCTGGGCTGACGTTAGTCAGGACACTGCAGCAATTCAAGTTTTTTCAGATGGTGATGATAATGCAGGTGGCATTTCAGATACTGATGACTTTTCAGTGGCCTTAGATAAACCTAGCCATCATCCTACAGCAAAGAGGCCTTATGAACAATCCTGGCGAGTGGCTTCTCGATGCCAGGCTGTAAAAGTCAGCCATGGAACTCAAACCAATCTCACAAAAGAGTCAGCGACAAAAGCAAGTGGACCAGAGGAAGACTCGCCAACAAGGAAGCGTTTACTTTTACAGAAAGACAGAAAAATGAGAAACAGAGTGCAAATTGGAACACTTGAATTTCCTGAAACATGTACTAAAGTTTTGAAGCCTTTGCAACCCAATGCCTTAGTCTATGTTATTTCTTCAAATATGAAGTTTCAGAATGGTGAATCCTTCAACTTTGCTAAAAAGTACCTTGGTGGCAGAAGTAGTCGAGATGTTAGCATACAGTACAAATATAAGCGGAGGTCCTTTGATTACTATGACCCATTGAATAAGAAAATTGTAACGAATCCTCCAGAATCTGACAGAAATAACTGGCTTCAAATTCACTTGAGCGACCTAAGCTCCAGTTCAGATGAAGATGGTCCTGCAGAAGGCTTTGATCCAACAGGCATTTTGACGCTAAGAGATGAACTAATGGCCTATCCGGGGGCGCGTATTTCTCCCGAACGTGTGCCAAGACCAGGGACTTCGAGTGCTAGGCAAGTTCCATCGGGAAGTAATTTCCAGTCAACTCCTGTAGGCGGCGATGCTGCCAGAACCTCCCCCAAATCAGCCACACGGAAGATACTGGAAGGTAAAAAGAAGATTCAGAGAAGGAAGATGAAAACTAGCAAGCCAGGTTTCCCCCAGAAGGTTTATAAACCAATTATTCTCCACCAAAAACCGAGAATCGCTTCCGAAAAACCGTCCATTTGGATTCGGACCAAACTAAGTGATATAATTAGGAAGTATATTTCAAAATACTCTGCTTTTTTGCGTCGCAAATATCAGTCCAGGAGCGCCTTTATTCGACTGCATCTTAAGAAAAAATGCGACGTCACTAAGTCAAAGAAGGCGAAGAAACCAGCGAAAATGCCTTTGGGCTCACCGGCTCCCTCGGGGCCGCCGGGGCCACCGGTTCCCTCGGGGCCACCGGGGCCGTCGGTTCCCCCGGTTCCCTCGGGGCTGCCGGTTCCCTCGGTTCCTTCGGGGCTGCCGGTTCCGTCCGTGGCGGCTGCTGAGGGGCAGTTGGGAGCAGTCCCTAGCTGTTCTCCCAAGCCACCTGTGCAGAACTCTTGGCCCGCTGCAGGAAGAAAGCGGAATGGTACTAAAAAACGCCCTAGGAAGAGAAGAAGAAAGCCTTTTAGACCTGTTAAAATATATGCTTTGAGAAGCTTATATTCTCAGGTACCGTACTCTGATAGGATGAGGACTCGGCTGTCAGACAAATCGCCAGCTAATGAGGCCACCTAGAAGCGTTTCCGTTCAGGCTAGCTGAGGATTCGGTACTTCACTTGAAATACATTTTGTGCACATAGCTTTCCCAGCTTTGGTGGAAAAATTAACCTTCAACTATTTTGCTACAGACATTATTTTTCAGAACTTTTGTAATTCATTTAAAATTCGTGTTTAAGGTCCTTTTTTTTTTTTTTTAAAGATTCAGACACATCCTTTGTCCATTTGCTGTAGAAGAGCTTCATTTTAATTTATATCCATAATTTAGCAGAGGATACATTTTTTCTCCCTCAAATCCTGTCCCTCTTATTTATTTTTTATGGTTGTATCTCATGTCAGCAGGTTATCATATTGCAAAAATGAATGTGGCAAACATTAAATGCTATCTTATTTTTACTTTTTAAAAATTGGAACAAATGAACATGTACTTACATTCTGTGTGTTTCAGAGTGGCATTGTCAACACCGTATTCTAACTGGATAATTAAGGAGAAACTATAATTATCTCAACTTTTGAATGAAGCTGATTTAAATAATCAGAAACAAAATATAATTTATCTTTTAAAGCATTCAAGAAAATGAGATTCCATGATCTTTAATCGAGTTTTTAAAAACTGCCTAGTGATTTTATATACATAAACAGAAACTCCTCCTGCTTCATTTAAATTGGATCTGCAAGTCTCTAACTTTCCTTATTTGGACACACGCACATATACAATGTCTGTAGGCTTTTCTTTAGCATTATTAGATCTTAATGGGAAAATGATCTTGCCAGTGTAATCAATGGTTTCTACCACCTTTATTCCCCTCCACCTCAAGTGTTGGTGGTTTATTATGAAAATCTGGGTTATCTTATGGCCTTACCTCTTCAAAATATTTCAGCCACTACCATATCTTTTTTTGTAACAGCTTGAACTGAAATTATTGGTTTGGTAATTTGGGCAGACCATTAATTGTCATTAACAAACTATTTGTAATCTTACTATTTCAAAAGATCTAGTGAAACTGAATGACCTACACGGAGGCCAATTTTTCAAGGGAAAAACTACACATTTGTACGTTAGTTTGACTTTCCTTAAACTTGCTATCTGATTTTAATAGTTCAAACAAAAGATGTTAAGCAGTTTGGGTCTGAGATACTCAGAATATGTTTTGATCCTTTATTCAGAGACACTGGTCCAGTTGGTACAGATGCATCCAATTATCCTATTAAGACAAGGATCCTGGATCCTATTCTATCATTAATGTTAAAGGAAACACGAATTTCAACTATATTGTACAAACCATATTTAATTGAAACTAGATCAGTGTACCATGATTTCAGAGATAAAAATGTGTTACTTTAGAATTAATGAAATATAGTGTAACAGTTGGTGTCTAAATGTAGTTTTATTTCAGGGGCCATTTTTAACCTGTGGGTATGTTATGATGGTGTTCTGTTGTAATTTCTTTACTTCTAAATTTAAAACAGTTATTCTGTTGAAAAAAAATGGACAAATGTTTATATTTTTAGTTGCAAAGCAACTTCAACCCTGCTTCCTATACAAACCTATTTTAATTCCCTTTCTTAAGACAACATTATGGGCCACTAGTTTAAAATAATCTTCCAGTTTTCGTTTGGAAAGCAAACTGTCCTACTGATTAGGAAGTAAACAAGCAGCTAATACGTAAAAATATTCTATTTGTGGGTATTGGTGTCTTTTTTTCCTATAGCTTAGACGCGGTAATTTCCTTAAGTACTACTGGTAGGCATTCTGGATGCTTTTTGCTTAAGTTAAAAAGCAAGAGATCACATGGAAATGATGTACTCCATAACTGTGATGTGTCATATCTATTGTGATTACATCATGCAGAGCGGACAGTTCTCACAATTCAAATGATCAAAAGCAGTTAAAAAATTTTACTACTTTTTTCACATTGGAAACTCTTCTAAATACCGTTTTTTTGAGAGAAAAAAGATTTATATTTAAAATTTATACTACTAAAAATATCAAAGTATAATACAGTCCTAATTATTTTTTTTAACATTTTGGAAATATTTATAAGTTCCTGTAATCATTATTTTAGACAAGTTTGAAAACTTGAAACTGTAAAAATTATAATTTAAATTAAATTAGAAATGAATTACTTTCAGAATTTGGTAGGATGTAAGATGTGCCCCTTTGTCAAAATATTTTTGCTTAATTTGCAGATTAGATGAAACAGTTGGATGTTTTTTGTGTATTCAAGAATGCATTAAATTCTTTTAATAGTAAAAAATTAAATTATAACCACAGTGAATATTTTATTATTCTTGTCCTTGTTCAGTATCTTGCATAGATTTTTATTACAATTGTCCCAAGTTATACAGTATGTGGACAATATTGTGTGAAGTGTGTTTTGCATTTGTGCATTTAAATTATTTGTGTAATTAGGGCTCTGAGTGACACTTTTTGGTAAAGAGAAACTATATTTAAATATTCAAGCAAGTATATATTTCCATGTAAAGCTAATGTGAAGACTAATGTATTTTTTATAATGCAGTTTAAAGAGTAAATTTGTTTTCAAAGTTATCAAGATAAAATTTATCAAATATTGAAATTTGTCTCTACTTTCTCCTCATGTTAGGAAGTTTTTCTGGGAACACTTAAGGAATCAGAGAATAACGAAAACAAGTTCATTTTATAAATGGTCTTAGAGATAATAAATAAGAGAATATAAATGTTGATGCTGGTGAGGAAATAGTTTAACCAAAGATATACAGGTATGTTCATGGAGTAGTTATTTCAAAGGATTAAAATGAAACAACTATTTATTTGACTGGTGGCGTAGTGGGTTAGCAACTGTTCACTTTGTATACCTGTATTGAAAGAGTCAATGAACAGGATTGAGTTCAGGAGGCAGTATCTACATCATTATCTGACACCTACTGGGAAGAGAGAACCGTAGCGCCTCCAGTATCACAGCGTATATTATAAAGGACAAGAAAAACATGGAAAAGCGTACGTATGTCACTGAGGTGGGGGCCTTTGGCCTCAATAGTATCGACTGCTGGGTTTTTTGGTCCCAGATTATATTGTTAAGATACAACAACAGCCTACTTTTTGTGATAAAAAATTACTAAAGTAAAAATATGTGATGGATGTCCATATTCAATGAAGGACTTTTATATGGAGAAATAAAATGTGGAACATACTGAAAAATCACGCAATTAGGGAATTAACACATCAAAATGTCAACTTGAGAAAATGAGTGGCTGAGGAAGAGTCTCAACATTTTCTGAAACTTTATTTAGACCCCAAATGTTAGGGAAATAATATAGTAAGTTTCCTTTGTTCTTAGACTTTATATGTATATTTAAAAAGTTTTCCCCAAATATTTTGAACCATTTACTTTGATTAAGAAATAGGTCTAGGGTGAACTATAATTTGTTGCTGAATCTTTAAAGTATGAACTTCTACTTTATTTACGTTTATAATTTATTATATGCATGTTGTTTTTCTTTACATGCATTTTATTTTCTAAGTTTTTAAGCTGGACGTGTGTGTGTGCGCGTGTACATCTTGAGCCCTTACAAGTGCCGGGCACTGTTCTAAGCTTTTAAACTGTATTATCTCATTTGATCTTCAAAGAGCCCTTATGAGTTAGGTACTGTGATTGTCACTAAATAGCTCTATGCCTCAATTTTGGGATTACAAATGAGTTGTTATTTAATGTAATCAAATGGGGATTACAGTCAATCCCCAGTGCCAGGACACCACTAATCTACTGTCTGTATAGTTTAGCCTTTTCTGGACATTTCATATAAATGGCATCATACAATATGTGGTCTTTGTATCTGGCTTCTTTCATCTACTATAGTGTGTTTGAGGGTCATTCATGTTGTAGCATGTATCAGTATTTTGTTCTTTTTTATTGCTGAGTAGTATTTATAATTAGTTTTTAATGAAGCTGGTAACAGAATGCTGGTCTCCTGATAAATATGATAAAAGCTGTTAGGCTTGAGGCTAGCTGTTCCTTTATAACTCTCATACCTGTTACCCTCGATTACCACCCCAATTCCAAGACCAACTGGATATCTGCCTTTTTAAGTGCCCTTATCCCATACTTGAATGCTTTGTACTTCCTCTGTCTTTGACTCTAACTCCCTTTACTGCCTATCTTTGCATTCTTCCCACTGTGCTTGGTGACTTCTCACTTTCAGTGTCAACACATTATCCTGTGTTCTCAGTCTTTTCGCAGTGGATTGCTTGAATGTAACCGAACTGAGAATCACATCCAAGGTGCCCGTTATCCTACACGTGCTGTAGAGCCAGGAAATGTTGGTGATGGTACTGGTCATTCTTCTTTACAATTCCTCTCCTATGTGACCCAGTACATACCATCGAAATCAACATTGGTATACCCCTCTTCTTCATAGACCTCACTTGGAATTTCCCGATTGTTCCAAAATGTCCTCTAGAGGTCCAGGATTTGATCCAGGATCACAGACTGTCATGACTGTTGAGTTTCCTTCTGTATGGAGCAGTTCCTCAGCCTTTCTTTGTATTTAATAACTTGACATTTTGAAGTGTGCAAACCAGTTTCTTTGTGGAATGTCCCTCGGTTTGAGTTTGTCTGGTGTTTCTTTATAGTTAATGCTTTTGTGGGGGGGTGGGCAGAAATTCTGTGGACTTTCTCAATGTATCATAACCGCAGCCATGTGATGTCAGTTTGAATAAAAGTGGTGATTGAAAATATCCAGTCTTTGTCTTTATCTTAGAGGAGTAACTTTTTAATAATCTGAAACGGGGGCACTCATAGTGGGTAGGTTGAGTTATTAACATATAGTTATACATTTTTTCACAACTGAACTTTGAAGCAGTTGTGACAAAATTTTTTTGTTGTATTTATCATCTAACTCATCATAGGTTAAGATAGTAGCTTATGTGTACACTTAAATGTTACTTAAACCCCTATTATGTGCTCGGTCCTCTCTATTGGGTGCCAAGGATCTAAGCATCAACTACACAAGCCTCTACTTGTTCACGTTCATTAGCT